AAACCAACTGACAGTCTCAACTGCCAAACTCCAACTGTCAAGAGGGTTTTTTTTCCCATTAGAAACCCCCCCTTGAGTTCTGCATCAGGATTACATCACCACTGCTAGTCACGTGACTGCAGGTGTCTTTTCTTGCAGGCTGATCCCAAGCCTGGAGTCCGTCGCAAAACCCTTTCTATGCCTATTTTGGCCTTTGGGGGAACACTCATTGGGGCCAGTCCTGACTAGGGTTGCCAGCTTCAGGTAGGGAAATTCCTGGAGATTTTATGGTAGAGTCAACAGAAGCCAGGGTTTGGGGAGGCCTCAGCTGAACAGAATGCCATAGAGCCCACCCTCCAAAGCAGTTATTTTCTCAAGTGGGGGGGGGGGAGATCTGTTGTCTGGAGTTCAGTTGGGATACCTGGGGATTTTCAGGCTCCACCTGGAGATTGGCTACCCTAGGCATAGCAGTCAGCGCTTCAGAGTAGGGTCTGCTAGACTCAGGTTCTTTCTGTGGAAGCTGAGTGGGTGATTTTGGACCAGTCACAAACTTTCAGCCTCACCTACCTCAAAGGTTGTTGTGCAAGTCAAAAGTGGGAGAGGAGAATGATGTAAGCTGCTTTGGTCCCCATTGCAGAGAAAAACTGTACTTTTCCTCCTGGGGAATCATTGTTACCAATCTCCAGGCGAGGGCTGGAGATCACTCAGAATCTGGAGGGCTGGAGATCACTCAGAGATCACTGCTCTCCAGATGGCAGAGATCATGGTGGACTCTGTGTCCTTATACTCTGCTGAGATGGCCCCCCTTATTACATCCAATGTGACATAGCAGTCAGAGCTTCAGAGCACGGTAGAGGCTGCAGGTGGGAGGGGAGATGGAAAGGTGAAGAGTGAGGGACAGATAATGGCAGGTTGATGCTTGACTGGGAAGGAGATAGAATTGCCAACTCCAGGTTGGGAAATTCCTGGAGATTTGAGGTGTGGAGGCTGGAGAGGGTGAGGTTTGAGGAGGGGTGTACCACAGACAGGTACAATGCCATAGACTTCACCCTCCAAACCAGCCATTCCATCCTGGGGAACCATTGTTTCCAATGTCCAAGTGGGTGCAAACCAAAGAGATAGATCATGGGATGGATGTTGAAAGGAAGCAAAACAACCGTGATGTATTATGCCAGAAAAAAGTTCTTCACAGACGTATAAGTTCTTTTCCACTATCCAATTTAGTAGGAGCAATTCAAACGCCATCAGCACCACAACAGACCATGCATATCACGTCTCATTTCATATACAAACTTCATCAAAGTGGGTAGCGTTGAAATTCCTATATAATTTTAATCCATTTGACAAACACTATAGACATATATCGTAGTAATATTCATCAAATCCATTATCACCCACTTTGATAAAGTTTATATATGAAACAAGATGTGATATGCATGGTCCGTTGTGGTGTTGGTGGCGTTTGAATTGCTCCTAGTAAATTCAGTCTCCAGGTGGGGGCTGGAGATCAGTCAGAATTACAACTGCTCTCTAGGAGGGAGGGGATGGAAAGCTGAAGTCAGAGGGGCACATAAAGGTAGGTTGATGGTTGGCTGGGAGGGAGATAGGGTTGCCAACTCCAGGTTGGGGAATTTCTGGAGATTTGAGGGGTGGAGCCTGGAGAGGGTGAGGTTAGAAGAGGGGTCGGACCTCAGACATGTACAATGCCATAGACTCCACCCTCCAAACCAGCCATTTTCCCCTGGGGAACCTCTTTCTAGAGCTTGTTGTATTTATTTCCGCAATGGACCTTATTCCTAGTGGAACATAACTGTTGAATTTTCAATCCTTATTCAGAATGTTCCCACATGCTTGATTGAAAAAAGAAATCTGGAAGTCTGTCTTGAATATGAGATTAAGAAAGGTACAAATATAACTGAACTTCAGAGATCAGCAGTGCACAAACGATTCAATTCATGCAAAATAGTCTGAGAGGACATTATTTATTTATTTACTTCATTTATAGCCCACGTTTCTCCTCATGGGGACCCAAAGCGGCTTATATCATTCACACCTCCATTTAAAACTCATAACAAAAACCGTGTGAGGCAGGTCAAGCTGAGAGTATGTTACTGGACCAAGGTCACCCAGCAATTTTCCATGGCAGAGTCAGGATTCAAACCCGGATTTCCCAGATCCTAATCCAACACTCTAACCACTACACTATACTGGCTCTCCATATTACCTCGTTACCACAAAAGGAAAGATATAGAAAGGAATACTTTTAACTTCACTACTCAGTCTTTACAAAGGAAAACACAGGAATTAAATATGTGTTAAAAATAAATAGAAATAAGGTTACTACTTGCTGTTTGGCAAGAAACATAGGCATCACAGAATTTGAATCAAGAATATTGTTTGGAAGTATTGTTTTTCTGTATAAGGGACTATGAGGCATATTCTCATTCACTGTGGAGCTCAACAGCACCAGAGGGTCTTAGATAAGGCGTTACGAGTCAGTTGAAATGTGATGCAACAGACTTTCGTGTAGGCTCCTTTATACCCTTCCTTTAGTGTGTTTTTAATGGTTGCATTATGATTATTATGTATTACTTTAAAGAATAAATAAAAGATTTTTTTTAAAATAGAAAGAACCAAGATGATGGTACTGGCTAAAAGGTGGGCTCCAGGCAACTGACTATCTCTCTTTTTTTATATATATAAAGTATCCAAGGGTACACTTTTATTATTTTTCCATTATATACTACTATCTCCACTAACCTCCAGTTCTGACTGCAATCATTCTCAGTTTTCCCCAAGCTAATTGCCTAGATAACAAAAGTCATAGGGAAACTACTTCGTGTTTTCTTCCACAAGATATTCATAGGGTGGTATAGTGGTTCACTGGCTTAAGACTGGGAAGGCCCATGAACAAATCCCCAGTCTGCCATGAAGCTCATTTGGCAAGTCACACACACATACACACACACTCAACCTAACCTACCTCACAAGGTTGTTGCGAGGACAAAATGACAGAGGGAAGAACAGGTATGCTATCCTGAGCTCCTTGGAGGAAGGGCAGAATAGCTCTGTAACAGATAAACATCAGGACAAAGTTTGAGTCTAGTGGCACCTTTAAGACCAACACTTCTTCTGACACAGATAAATGTCAATTTGTTATTCAAATACATTTAAAAAAAAATAAGCTACCAATTATGATTATTATGTATTACTTTAAAGAATAAATAAAAGATTTTTTTTAAAATAGAAAGAACCAAGATGATGGTACTGGCTAAAAGGTGGGCTCCAGGCAACTGACTATCTCCACTAACCTTCGGTTCTGACTGCAATCATTCTCAGTTTTCCCCAAGCTAATTGCCCAGATAACAAAAGTCATAGGAAAACTACTTTGTGTTTTCTTCCACAAGATATTCTAAAGTTCATAGGGTGGTATAGTGGTTCACTGGCTTAAGACTGGGAAGGCCCATGAACAAATCCCCAGTCTGCCATGAAGCTCATTTGGCAAGTCACACACACACACACTCAACCTAACCTACCTCACAAGGTTGTTGCGAGGACAAAATGACAGAGGGAAGAACAGGTATGCTATCCTGAGCTCCTTGGAGGAAGGGCAGAATAGCTCTGTAACAGATAAACATCAGGACAAAGTTTGAGTCTAGCGGCACCTTTAAGACCAACACTTCTTCTGACACAGATAAATGTCAATTTGTTATTCAAATACATTTTTTAAAAAAATTTAAGCTACCCTCTTCATAGAAACCACTGACAAACTCCCAGGCCCTTAGAGACACATCGAATGAATAATGTGTGTTATGTGCGTTAGCACACTACCAGAAGGCACATCATCAGATGTGAAGTTTGTTAACAGCTACTTTCTGAGAAATACTCTCTTTTATATTCAAGCTGGTACTCAGAAGTCCCCACCCAAAGACGTTCATCACTGGACTTTCCTTTAAGTGTTTCAACACCAGCCAAATTTACATAGTACCATTATGAAGAAAGATTCCTACAGCCCCCACATAACAGCAGTTCTTGCTAGATTCTTAACCTGTCACCCTCCTGGTTGCAACCTACCAACATAAACTTATGTAGTCCAGTTATAAAAAAAATCTAACAGCCTATCAAATGAAATGAGTTTGGTTAAAGTCACAGATACTAGCTGTTCTTCCGGGGCTATGGCATGAGCAGATTAGAAAGCCCTTCAGAGAGCATCCATTGGCAGAGGGATGGGTCCAGATTTAAGGGAAGAAAGCAAAGTTAACAGCAAGGAGGAGGAAACCTCTGGTAGAAAGTGTTGGCTCAGGAGAGAAAGTGCACAAGTAAATACAAGCCGCTCTGCACACACTGGTACCCACAGAAAAGAACTCCAGCAACGTTGCATATGGTGCACGTGCCATGAAATATCTCCATCTTAAACTGAGTTGTTTGGGACTACTCATGTAGAACTAAGGAGCTGCGGTGGCTCAAGTGGTTAAGACGCTGAACTGCAGGCTATGGGAGGTCAGGTTTAACAGTTCGAGACCCGAGCTGCCGCATGATGGAGTGAGCTACCGTCTCTAGTTCCAGCTCCTGCCAACCTAGCAGTTCGAAAGCAAGAAATTGCAAGTAGATAAATAGGTACCACTTTGGTGGGAAGGTAACAGCGTTCCGTGCACCTTGGTGTTTAGTCATGCCGGCCACATGACCACGGAAACGTCTTTGGACGGCGCTGGCTCTTCGGCTTGGAAACGGAGATGAGCACCGCAACCCTGGAGTTGGACTCGACTGGCTTTCGAGCAAGGGAACCTTTACCTTTACATGTAGAACTAGAAGAGATGGGGATAGTATGAAACCAAGCATGCTTCCTACACAAATTGTATTTGGTAACATCTAGGTAGGAAAACACGGATGCCGTTATAAGTCAGTCATTTTGCAGGCACCTTAAAGAGAATCTGCTTTGGCACAATGTTACAGGCAAGTCACAGACATAGTACCATCCAGCTGCCCAACTCTGACACAACAAGAATGACAGCAAACCTCGTACAGGAAGTCTGCACCACTACTGCATGCAGCTTTAAACCCTCTTGGCCCATACAATCTATAAAAAGCAGGAACGCTTACAGGAAAACGAAAAAGGCCTACTTTCACAATGGTGGGTGCACGGACGTTTGACTGGAGGAGGCGGCGGCGGCGGATCGCACGAGTGACTATTGCTCCATACAAAAAGACTGCTTACACGGAGAAAACTAGTATGCTAAGAAGACGACTGGCTGGGCATTGTTCTGACCGGCGCCTAGCTTTCTATGCACAGGGAAGTCTCTATGGCGGAGGGGCGTGCAATAATGCGAGGACTCCTCGCCAAGAATATGAAAAGGAACTGTGCAGGCACGGGAATGCACCCCATTGAGAGAGAGGAGAGGGCAAATTCAGCTGGGGAAATGCAAGTCACACAGGACCCGCTGCCCCAGATGGGGCACAAAATGGGCTCGGGAGCACACACCGACAGAGCTCCTAAAAAGGGGGGAAAGGGAATCCCTTTGGTGTCAGAGGAGACCCCAGCATGAAGGCCTGGGGACAGGCACGGAATCCCTCTACGCAGAGACAGCGCTTTAAGGGCAGCGGGTTACCTGCAACCAGCAAGTTCCTCCGAGAAGTGGGCGGAACCGTTCCGAAGCATGGTGGGATTTGTAGTTTCGATTCCCCACCACCACCTGTTACAAAGCCTGCGCCGACGGCCGGGTGTAGGCCAGTTCTGGTTACGATCTCAGAGTAGAGGATAAGTCTGTTCCCAGCATACAATGCGCGGAAGCCAAGCAAGGAGGGATTTGTAGTTCTTTTAGAGGGGCCTCTGTGGAGAAAGTGGGCGGTGGCTTCCTACTAACGCTGGTCTTCCCAACGAAGAGGAAAAAGCGTTGCCTCCCTCCAGTGTGTTTTTAACGTGCTTCAGGCGTCTCTGTGGTTGGCCACTGCCTCAGGAGCAACCCCTTGCGCGTTATGTGCGCCTCAGTTCCTCACGAGCAGCTAGCTCAGTCGTGAAAGGTAGTTGTCAGGACGCAGCAGGGAGGTAGCCGCCGTGTGAGTTTAGGCGGTGATAGCAACACACATCCACGCCCTTGTTGGATCTGGAAGAGGCCACTTCCACAGAGGCATGACGCTTGTCCTCGGTTGGAAGAGGCTTGTAAACGCCGGCACCGAGAGTTGCACGTGCGAAAGAAGTACGGGTACTACTCATGCCAGTGTAGACCTGTGGCAAAGCAAGAATGGGACGGGGCTCGGCAGTCCTCCCCCCCCCCCCCCTGGGGCAGGAGGG